TAGAGGGCCATTGAAGCTGCTGCTGCCGCTGCCGCCGCTGTCGTTGGACGCATTTGAGAGGAGATCCATCTCATCCGTGCAAGCCGAAAGCGTGTCCATAGGGATGGCATCGCTGACATCCGAAGCCGTGTCCTCCACGTTGCTGCAGGAGCGGGAGGATTTCTCTGCCAAGCTGGCAGCATCCTTCTCTTCTTGGTCTGCTTTTGGCAAATCCAGCAGAAACTCTGCAGAGTAGGCAGAACTCAGGCAAGCGTCAGACTGGAGAGAAGTGGTGAATTTGTTTTGTCCGGCGGAAAAGTCGAGCGAGGGCATTGATCGGGATCTCTGGATCAGCTGCTCAAAGGCACTGATACGGGAGGAAACGGTGTGTTTGGGGATCTGCTCCGAATCCTCTCGGCTAAGGCTGTGCTCCATCCTGTCCCTGGCTTCGTTCTCAAACTGAGACGCAATATCCCTGACGCTGCAGGAGGAGACCGTGCCCAGATGGATCCTGGAGCGGTTGATCTGGTGCATGTCTTTATACAGCATCGTAAACTCCACCCCACTCTTCCTGGCGCCAGGGAACAGGTAGCCTTTCCTCGGGTCGGTGCCATACTCCTGCAGGCTCATGGTGCTGCCGGATTTGATGGCGTACTCCTCCTTCGACTTCATCAACATGTTTTCTATGCCTTCCCCTACGTCTACCACGAAAGCTTTTTTATTATCGAACAAGGCACTGGAGCTACGAAGGTTTTCGCAGCTTTGAGCCTTCTCGTGAGACAGCAAGATACCCTTCTTGTCCTGCACAAGAGCAGCTGGAGCTGCTAGTTTGGGTTTGAATTTGGAAGGGAGGATTTCAGTAATGCAGGCTTTTGCGGCTGATAAGGGCTTCTTATGTTTACATGCGTGACCTAACATACCGGTATGACTAGCGTTAAAGGTTCGGCTATTAGCTGAAGAGGGTGCAGTCATATGAGCATTCCCACCTTTACGATCCACTGGTAAGCATGCAGGATAAAATAAATACAACCTGTTAGCTTAAGTGCTAGAAAGCTGTCGAGAAAGGAGAAAGAACATGCTCGGGTTTCATAAAACGCACGTTAAAGAAACAAAGTTCCAAAACATAAAGAGAAGCGGGAAGAAACTGCACAGCAAGCCGCGCTTGCGGGAGCGGATGAAGTGCCGCTAACGGTTCTAAACTGAGCGGCTGGGCCAGAAGCAGCCCTCAAGCGCTTTGAAGGTACCCTCCCAAAAAGTGCTGAGCGTGACCAGCTTCCAGAGAAAAGGGCGCTGGACTCGGGGCAGTGTCAGGGTGTCAGGCAGAATGCACAGGCACTAACGGTGCAAAAACAGCTTAATGCTGCCCGCTCGGAGATTCCCCATGCCAGGAATAAGCCGAGCGCGCTGCGGGCAACGCAGCTGGCCACGTTTGCTCTAAAAAGCAAGGAGTCAGACCAGGATGTTACTTTTTTTTTTTTAAACGCAGATCCAGTCTGGGTTCAGCTTAAGACTGCAGTTTTTTTAGGTCCGTTTCCTAGTTTAGTTCAAACTCAAATGTCAAAATAACCATTCAGGTTCAACTGCAGCTTGGGGAACAATCACTGTTTGAACAGCTTTCTGCGTTCGGACCCAGTCTGACTCCCTGCCCTCCGGGCCTGACATCCTGCCGAAAAACGGCTGGCAGACGGAGAGAGACCTTTTTGGTGCGATGGACTATTTTTAGGGAGAGCAGTTCAGAAGCCCAGCGCATTCCTTCCCCAGTCCTCTCCCCATCTCAAGCCATTTTTACGCTGAAGTTGGCTCAGAGATCCGTTCCCCAACATAGCTCCCCGACGGGAGCCAGGCTCATCCTTGTCTTCTGCTTCTAGAGCATCCGTGATGGGGGAGGAAAGGGGAGGGGATGCAGTGGTCTCCGCTGCCTCGGAGCCCGCGGGGCTTTGCTGGCTCGTATCGTCCCGTGCATTCTCCGCGCAGCCCTGGAGATGGAGGCTGTGGAGCACACGGTGCCGACCACCCCAGCAGAGATGGTGGGGTCTGCGGAGGTACCGCAGCGGGCAGAGTGGAAAAGGCAGGGCAGGGCTCTAGCGTGGCAAGGCGGTGGGAGCAGATGGATAGCCAGGCCAGCCCGAGCAGCCTCGAGGAAGAATGGGAGGGTGTGCGGTGCGGCCGGGGTGCTGGGTGGAGGGAGCTGGTCCCTGCCAGGAAGAGGAACCTGGATCAGATAAAGGGGTCATGAAAAATACTGGCCAGTGGTGTCTGAGAGAAAAAACGGAGGGGAAAACTGGGGATGGCAAAGGGGAAGGACAGCAGAAACCTCAACAGGACTCTAAACCCTGCAGCAGTTTGCCCCACATCACCTGGCCTTCCACACTCTGTGTAGAATGGAGGAGAGGTCAGTGCCCTGACCACCTACCTTTTGTGGAAGCGGAGCTAGAAGGTCGCTTGAGACCGCTCAGCCCCTGGAACGGGATATCTCCGCCTTCCAGCACGCTCTTGTAAATCTGCCTTTCATTCTCCAAGCCAGTAGCGTCGCCCAGCGCTGGCTCCAACTCCCTCTTCGCAGCGTGGTAGCTGGGTGAATGCGTGGAGCTGGAAAACACAAAGAAGGGCGAGGGACACCAGCAGGTCACTTCTGTTTGCCGAGAGCTTCAGGCAGAGTAAGCGGAAGCCGCACTTGTGACCCCAGAGCAGGCGGTGTGTGCAGAGCGGGCGCTGAACGGAGAGGTTACGAACACACGGCGCTGACGAGCCCGGTTTGGCACTGCCACGGCGTTCCCCACCTGAGGGAACTCCCCCGGCAAACCAGCGGCAGGAGAGCTCGGCTCCTTCGGTTTGCAGATCAGACGGCGGATGTGCTGTTTCTTTGCAGACCCAAAGAAATTCCCTGGCTAGCTGGAAGTCGCACGGAGATCTCCCACCTCCCAGCCCTCCCTCCTTAAACACCAGCCCTGGCTGTCCCCTGCTTAAAGCACAGCTGCCCAGGAGCTCACCCCAACCAGTTCAGCCTCCCAGCTAACGCCGCAGTTCAAGACTCCCAGAGCGATTTCTCAAGCTCATGAGCGAGGGACCATGCAGAGCAGCAACACTACGGGGCCACAGACGCCAGTGTTTCAAATGCCAAAGAAATTCCCAGAGGCGCACAGTTCTGCTCAGCTTTGCCTCAGGCTTCCACGACAGGGCGTGAAAAATCCTGGCCTCCCGGTCTACCACGCAGGTTTATAAACAAAATGCTGCGGACATGAGTACAGTTTTAATTTCTTAGGCCTTTAAAGACTGGACATTTATTACAAATCTCTTTTCTTAGCCACGCATCTAAGCACAACTATGCGCCCACGTCTGATTTCTAGCTTTCACTGTTTTCTCTCTAAAAAAAAATAACAAACAATGCCGTGGTATAAACGGCCTTTTTCCAGGTACAAAAGACTTACGGAGCAATCAGGCAGACAATGTTCTCCTAAGAGCTAAGCTCATCTGATACCCGTTCTTGTGCTCAACCAGGCTCTTCAGAGTAAAATGCAGTCTCATGCAAAACTATTCTGGAGCCAAAGCATGACTGCTGGGAAGTTCGAAAAAAATCAAAAAATAGGGCATTTGCCAATTCGTGGAAACATTCTGAAAGCTGGTTTACATCCTGATGTTCAGGAGTGATCCAGATTTATGAGGGTGGAAACGCTTGTGGTTACGCCTGCTTGTTGCGGATGATCTGCTTGTTTTGGAGAGACGCTGTACGTCTGGGGCACAGAGAAAGCGTCCAAACGCACCAGAGGGTTGGCTACGGAGGTGCCATTACACCATGTCTGGATCACAAAGAGGATCCTAGTTTCCAGAGAAGGAAAGCCAGGTCAGATGCGGTCCCATAAATTACTTTCTGGAGTAAAACCACGAAAGGGAACGGGAATGCTGTCCCTTTTTCAGCCGAGTCAATGCTCAAACAGCCCCACGGCGACAGAGCTGCTGTGTCTTACGGGGGCTACCCCAGAGCCTCTCCTCGTCAGGTTCCCCGGGAAGCCCTCCCAGTTGCTGCAGCGAATGAGGACTGCCCTGATGCTCCTCACCTGGGAGGTAAAAGCCTTTTAGCCCCGTTGTTAAAAACCAAAGGGTTAACACGATCCTGCTTTGGGAATACCCCGGGGAGGGGGAGTGGGGGCATTTGGCAGAGTCCCTTTACCAGGGCCAGCGAGCAGGACTGTCCCAGGGCCAAGGCAGTCTGTGAGATCAGAAGCAGGTGACCAGAGGGAAGAGGAACACTGCAAAAAAGCCCACAAACTCTGGGTATCTTTTCTCCCTGCTCTCCAAACGCAGGGCAGGGAAGAACGCGCAGCTCCCCAGGGCCTCACTGCCGGATCCCAGCCTTCCCAGGCTGCTTCCCCTCTCCACTGGCTCGGACGCCGGCACTCCCGCGTGCTTCGAGTGCAGTCAGCGCTGCCGTGGGCGGAAAACCTTACCCGTCATTGGCAAATACAAGCCGTTCTTCGACGCTAATCTCTAAGATTGCCGTTTATTTTCTTGCTCTCTCCCTACCAAAACTACGCAGCCACGGGAGCCAACCAACAACACGCAGCAGTGCGCAAGCTTCCCAGAACGAACCCAGACAGGAGGGGACTGAGCTGAGAAAAGCACCGAAGACCTCGCAGGCAGCCCCAGAGGGGCAGTGAGCACCGGACGCCGGCAATCCCGCGTGCTTCGAGTGCAGTCAGCGCTGCCGTGGGCGGAAAACCTTACCCGTCATTGGCAAATACAAGCCGTTCTTCGACGCTAATCTCTAAGATTGCCGTTTATTTTCTTGCTCTCTCCCTACCAAAACTACGCAGCCACGGGAGCCAACCAACAACACGCAGCAGTGCGCAAGCTTCCCAGAACGAACCCAGACAGGAGGGGACTGAGCTGAGAAAAGCACCGAAGACCTCGCAGGCAGCCCCAGAGGGGCAGTGAGCACTTGTGCTATTAACGGGCACCTGGAGAAGAACGTGTCTTTCCTACAAACCATCCGCGCCCGAGGGGATCACGGTGCCCACGGCCAGCGTTAAGCACTCAGTCCAGTTCCACCGAGCGGGAGGTTCGCAGCAGGAGCTGGCTCCGTGGCTCCACTAACGCGGCACAGCTCAGCATCTTGCTCTGGATTTTCCTTTTTTTGGTGTTCCTCTTTTAGAACAAACCAGCTCCAGGTACAACTCATTTAGGCAGAGTATACTGCTTATTACATATTCCTCTGGAAAAGCAGCGCCATATTAGATCTTCAAGAAATATCGTTACTGCTACCACTCCTGGAGGCCGGAAAATTACTGCCTGCCTTTCGGTCTGGTGCGTGTGACTGGGAGTATCTAACAGGAGCTGTTCTATCACGCGGGCGTAACAGACACGAGCTTTGTTTGCTCCACGCAGTGAAGTTACTGGCATGAAGTTACAGTCGATTTGCAAACCTCATCAAGAAGGAGCTCAAGGTCCGTTTGGTTTTCTTCTTACAGTCACCACCCAGCACAACCGGCAATTCTCATCCAGACAATGCACTCGCTTCAGAATTCATCCAAGAGCCAAGAGCAGATACTGTACCTGGACTCACCTAAAGCACGTGTCTAATTCTCACGGTGCATGCATTTGTCTATATCCATCACCAAAAAATGAATCCAACTCACCTGAACGCCCGAAACCCCACCCCAAAAAGAGACATCCAAAAGCAATTGGAAGACTTACTAGGAAGCGTGGTCGGCAGAAGTCTCCAGAGGAGGAACACCGGCCGCACTCTGCAAAAGTCCAAACAAGGGAGTCACTGCTACGCACTCACACGGCGGGAGAAAGAAACAGGCTTGCTTAAGTAATTTTCCATCTATTGCTGGAATACGAGCCTTTAGCAGACACTGAGGTTTAAGTCTAAACACAGGTTAAGCTGTCAGTGTCTCCGCAGACGAGCAACAGTCTTCCCGGGGCCCTTCGGGGCAGCGACAGGTCTGTCGCGCAGCCCATGCCTTTTCGCAGCGCCTGCTCGTTTCTCTGCGCCCGAGTCATTGCAAACAGAGCCAAAAGCCAGAGCAGGCAACCAGCTGGGCCATGACCAGGAGACACATGCTCGTCATTATTTCCCCAAGCTTCTCCCCCTCCACCCGTCACTGCCCGCCCGCGCTGTAAAGGTGTATGGCATTTCGGCAGCACGACACATTCCTCAGCGTTCACAAAACCATCCAAGCGCTAACGAGAAAAGCAACGCTTCAACTCAGCGTCCTGACTTCAGAGAAGCCGTGCCAGCTGCGCAGGCTCAACAGCAACAGCCCGCTCTCACCCACTTGATTTCAATCCAGCTAACGCTTCCCAGGCACGTCGTTTAAAAAATTGAAGACAATTTTAGGAGAAACACTCTGTTTGGCGTCCCTTCGTCTATCTGAGGATTCCAATGTAGGAAGGGAAACCAAATCTTGGGTTTGAAAAAGCAGCTTTCTCAAGTCCTGGTGAAAACACTTAAAAAAAAAAAAATGCTTCCAAAACATCGACAGCAAGAGGAAAAAAAAAGCCAGCAAAACCGGTGTGTCACCAAATTCTCGTTTCACGGGTCGGGTCCCGCAGACCCTCGGAGGAGCAGCAGCAGCTGACCAGCCCCAGCAGCCCACGGCAAGGGGCAGCGTAAGGAAAACCGTGGCAAAGCTCCGGGGAATATCCAGCGCTCGGGCAGGCGCGAGCTCCTCGCAGAGAGCAGGGCTGGGAGGGAGGGAGGGCGGATGGCAACACGCTTGGGAGGCACGAGATGATGACGTGACGCCAGGCAAGAATTTTAAGCTGATTGCTGCTGCCTATTCATGTGAAAAATCAAGAGGGCTTTTTTTTTTTTGCAGACGCTGAACTCAAAACGCTAAAGGGGGGCAGGGGGCAGCTGACAGGGGATGGGGGAGCGAGGAAATCACTGTCTCTGAAATGGATTTCAAGCCGGATTCTCAGCATCGCGTTCTATTATTTCCGACAGCGACACAGCAAGCCATGCAGTCAGAAGGGTCAGAACCATTATTTATCCCAACCTCATTCAATAACCATCCAGCAGCAAACAGATTAGAGCAGAGAGTTTGGAAAGAGGGATTGGCAGCACGAAAAGAATAGGAAATATTTTCTGTAGCTTTTTATGTGGCGCTTTATAAAGCTTCTCCATTTTTTCTAAATCTGCCTCTAACTCAGTCTGGTAGAGGTAGAGGTCTTTTTCTAGATCAGTCTGGTTAAAGAAGGAGAAGAAGAATGGGAAAATAATGCTTAGGGTTAGGGGAAACCAAAGGAATGTTAATTTAAAAAAAAAAAGCGAGCCTTTTTAATTGAAAAAAGACAAAGGTGGTACGGACAATACACAGAAATCCACTAGTAATTAATCATGTTTCAATCATTACCAAGGAAATAGTTTTAGGTATTTAACACTCAAAATTAAGAGATGCACAGGCCTGCTAGAATCTAATTCTACAAACCATAAAGTTATAAAACCCACCTGTAAAAAAAAAAAAAGATACTGTAACAATACGCAATAGGCTGTTAGTATAATTATCATTGCAAGTCAAGGTAGCAAAACCACCACGCTAAATTATGGCTGATTATGCTTTAAGAATTGTTTATTAAAATCAATTCACTAGCTACTTAATTGTTAGGCTAATAAGCTCAAACCCCATTAAAAAAAAAAAAAAAATCACTCACAAGCACACAAAACCCAAGCGATGTTACGAAAAACCAAACAGAAACTCAGAGACACACACGCGGACGCGCCAGCTGCCGCAGCACAACGGACGGGAGACACAATTACCTTTCTATCCTCTCTAGTAAGGATAGAGCAATCTCCAGGAGTATAATCCCAAATCTTTTTTGGAGGCTGATGGAAAGCAGAGGAAGGAAATGAGGAAATGAAGATAAGGAAAGACATCACACAGAATGTGGAAACTGGATTAGAACAGAGGGGGAATACAACAGGGGATCTGCATCAACACTGAAAATTAAAAAAAAAAAACCACAACAGAGAAAGAGACACAGAAAGAGTGCCGCGGGAAATCTGGATTTCTGCAAGGTGCTCTGAGGGATCCGGGGCTCTCCGGAGGGAGCACGCGGCTGGCGGTTAAAGCACTCTTAACACAAAACCAAACCAAAACGGGGGGAAAAAAAACACCACATAGTCATAAAAAGCATTTGTTTTGCTCATTCTTCTTTTTGAAAGGAAAGGGTAAAAGAAGGGCCCTTGGCAAAGCAAAGGGAGACTCCAGCCCGCCCCGCCAGGCTCCGAGTACGTACCGTGGGAGGCAACGGCTGAGTCCCCAGCGGTGGCATTGCGGGGCAAGGAGAACGCAGAGCTGTTACTGTGGTATCTCACGGGTTTGGGGGTTGGCTTGTTTGCGGGGGGAGGTTGGTGGAGTTGGACAACGTGGAATTTTGGGAACTAGTTATTTAAAATTCATCCCGCAGGCGAAGGTGCCGATTGCAAAATAGGGGATGTGCGTGTAAATCTCAGGGAGGATTAATCAAAGGGAAAGACCTTCGTCCTGACACGCCTACCCAAATAACACCATGCTCATATCCTCACGCACCGGCTGCGCACCTGTCGCTGCTACCCTCAAAGCCTTTGCTCTTACTTTGGGAAATCAGAACATATCTGCTCGGTTTTCAAATAAAAACCACCTCTGTTGGCTGGCAAGCTCAGCATCATCCTACGTGTCTACACCGACTTCTGTGACCAGATTACTGAACTGCCTCCAGGTTGCTGACGGGGAATCTCCCTGTGCCAGTCCATCGAGGGTGAGACTGAGCTACAACCTTGGGACCTGGTCCAAGCGCCTTGCTAGAGCACCTGGACCTGCAGTTTGGATCTGCCCCGCTCGACATTCCACCAGCCACTGCGTGGGTGCAAACACCAAACACCTCTTCCTCACCCATCGGATCAGCCACGGCAGGGGGGCAGATGGTGCTGAGATTTAGGTCTGAGATTCCCAGCCCCACACTTCCCCATTGGCAGCAAAGAGCTCACTCGGTGCTGCCTCAGGAAGGGAAGGGAGGAAGCGCCCGCGTGCGTGCGAGCCCCCAATCCCCGCGGAAGATGACAACACAGCTCTAGACTGACCAAATGTTGAGTTTTGTGGATGGGCTCCACGGAGCTGTGGGGAAGGGAAGGGAAGGGGAGAACGGGGATTCAGTCCCAGCAGCACACTGAATCAGCATCCGTGCTGCAGAGACCGATCCGTCTGTCTGCAGCGCACGCGCCTGTCCATGGAGCTGCCCAGAAGCGGATCCAGGACGCCGGTCCAGCAGACCATCGCTTCGGCTGCCCTAGGAAGCGCGTGTGCTTCCCTCAACAGGGACAGCCCCATCCTGGGCATCCCGGTGCCTTGGGAGAGCAACCCAAGGGCTCACGAGAACCCTGCGCTCCCTTGTACCAAGGGTGATCCCTGCTCGCCTCACAGAGCTGGGAACCAAGTCAGAAAGCCAGGGGAAACCATGCCTGCAGAAGTACACATTTTCTCCAGCCCCAGGAAACAGCTGGGACAGAGACTCTCTGAAAATCCCAAGCACTAGCAAATGCCAGCTGAAACTCTCTGGTCAGGGATAAGGCTTGGCCATTAGCTGGTCACAAAAATCTGGTGCCCTCATGACCGGAGCGAGCAAAGCTACAAGAAGCATGCTCTTCTGGCTGTGGTAACACAGCTCAGAGGGAGCTTTGCTAGCTATGAAGGTCTGAGATGGCATCCTCGATCCAAGCACCCAATGCCGAAGCACCGCACCCAGGGGCTGGGACAGGTGTGCAGGCAGCGTGGTTCCACGGCTTTGGAGCTACTGCAAGTTGACACGGGACATCACTTGAAGGCAAGGGGTAAGACAGCAGCCCTCAACAACAGTGCCCTGAGCAGGGTTGGGAGCTCGCCACCAGAACAGGCGCTTGCTGAACAAGAGATGGGTTGCTAGCGTAGCCTGAGGTGCCCCATTCCGAAGTCAGGCCAAGGCTGCATGACAAAAAGCACAAGCGCACGCTTCTCAGGAGCAGACATACCCTCACTTCCAGCAAGGCCCAAGGGCATAAACGTTCTCCTTTCTCCGACATGCCTTCCATTAAGTCACACTAGCTTGAAGGATCACAGAGATGATAAACCCTCATTCATCGCAAGAGCACACGGCTGTTCATTACACAGCGGGTGTCTTCTCACTTTGTGGAAATCTTAAGCCGTGACAACCCATGAAGTGTTAAATCCCTATACTGACATCCCTCCAAAGGCTCAGTGAGGTGAGATCTACCTGACTTCTACTGCCTAAAGGTTAGGGGGTCTCATCTCAAACACTGTTGAAGCTCCTTCTCTAGGTTAGGAGGGAAGGTCCCTAGCTCTAAAACGTAGCGTTCTGTGACAGAACAAACCACCCAGCCACCAAATCATAGAATCACAGGTTGGAAAAGACCTCTAAGATCATCAAGTACATGTTTGTTTTCCAGCAAAAATCACAGTATTTCTCTGATGCGACCAGACTGGGCACCCAGCCTCAGGCAGCTACCTTCTGTGCAGAGGAATCTTCCTTCTGTGAGAACACAGACTAGATTTAAAGAAAACCTGCTCGCTGGTGTCCAGGTGCAGTTGCCTTTGAAGCCAGTACTGAATCTCAAAATGTGTTTCTGCTTTGTTGTGCATGCAGGGAAACCTCAGCAGCACTGAAAAATGGCGTGCATGGGCATTTGGCAACCGACCTCGAGGAGCAAGGAGAAACGGGCACTGCACTGAGATGAGAGGGGTTGGTACTGACCCTCTGGTGCAGTGAGAGCAGCTGATTAAACGGTATTTAATCATGAAGTTAACAGTGTTTAACCAGTAAGAACCAGGCCATAAAACGCTTTAAAGTCACATTTTTTTCCAGTAGCCACGACCACCGATGTGCTCCCTCCATCAAACCGCCCTTTGTCCTGCTCAATAACTCAGCTTTGCTTCATCTTTTCCACAAGTGGGACGCGAAGGCCTCTCCCCCGCAGCAACACAGCGCTATTTGAAAAGCAAGCACGCTGTTCTCGGCCTTGGTTGCCGTCGGGGAAGGGCAAGGGTCGCCCAACACCGACTGACGCCCGTCGGGGAAGGGCAAGGGCCGCTCAACACTGACGGACGCCCTCCGTTTAGGCAACGGGCAGCTCCGCGGAGCAGGGATCGAGCAGCAGGCAGGGTCACGAGCTGTTTAGGGACAGCTGGGAATTACTGACCTACAGTTTGCAAGCCAAGGCCAGGAATAAATGAGCGACTCGTCTGGACTTCGAGCTCCCTAGCAGCCGCCCTAGGTCTTGTCAGGCAGAGGGAGGCTAAGGGCTTCGAACAGGGACTTTCAATAACGAGAACAGGGCATCATATCTAACATTAACATCAAGTTTGAACTATGGCACTTGAAAAAATATTGCCTTCTTGATACCTATGGCTGGAAGGCGGGGAATGTCTGTAAATGGCTTCAAAATACTTAAAAGTGGCCACAGAACAGCTGCTTTACATCAGCACCAGGATGATGTTATGAACAATCACATTTTTAAATGAGTAAGGCAGCTGTTCAGGGTTTAGGGCCTAGAAAAGAGAGGTGACAATCATTAAAAAAAAATATATATATAAAGGCAGGTTGGCTTGATTAGTCATGGCAGCTATCAAACTTACCGGTTTCCCAAACTCCAATTCCGAAAAGAATTTATACCAAGGTTCATTCTTTAAATCTATCTCTTCTGGGCTTATATCCCGAGTCTAAAGGAGTTGGTGAAAGGGGAATGGAAGAGAGAGAAGGATAACATTATGCAAAGAATACACAGAAAGGGACTGTTAGAGATGCAGATCCCATGGTTTCCATTCTGAAATGTGGATATTTAGCCATATCATTCCGAATGTCCATAGCACCTCTCTCACAAAGGCCATCAACTGCTCTGCAAACACCAGTTAAGCCCAATGGCATCACCGTGAGCACTGTGAACATGAACGAATTACATTTTACAGATCAGAAGGCCCACGCAGAGAGAGATCATGCAGCGTGCCCAGAGTCACAGGGAGACTCAGAGGAAGGGCTGGGAGCCAACCGGTCCCTCAGTTCGACCGTTCGGCTCTTCCATCGAGTCCAAAGCTGCATGCACGTTAAAAAATTCTTTTAATTGACATTTGGTTAAACAAGAGAGATTCAGTGAGACCTGAATCAAACACTGCATCTTTAACAGCACATGAATATGTGAGAAACCCTGTTCCATACACTGCAAACAGAGTGAAAGGTGGCTTTCTAAACCAAAGCAGACACAAGGCAGAGAGAGTGCACACCCCTGAAAGATCTCTGACAGGACGGATAACGAGACAAAATTACTGGTTTCTCCACACATAAACATTACAGAATCAGACAAAACCACAGCGAAGGAAAATCAGACAGGACAGAAAACAGTACAGCTGAAAAGGAAATTCTCTTTTGTTTGTACATCCACTTTAATGAAACAAAAAAAGTTGAAATAGTTGTAGCTGTTTAGAACCACTCCTGGTGCAAGAAGAGAGTAGAGTCCTTTGCCCAGGGCTACGAGGTGCTGCTCCCCAAAAGACACCCAGCTAACTCTTGCATTCCAGCGTACCTACTCTTAGAAATAATGGGTCTCAGCGGGTTAAAAACATAAATAAATAATGTCTGACGTGCCAGTGCGATCCTGAGCACTCCATCGTACCCAGCGATGAGCCACACACGTGCAGAGGGCCAACGCAACGTGTCCCGATGCAAACTGTCCTGCGAAGGGGTTACTGGGGCGGGGGGAGCTCCCATCAGCGCTGGGCTTTGCTGGCTGTCCCAGGCTCTGCCACAGCCAGCAGGCACCACAAAACGAGCTATGGGACGGGAGCTGATGTTGGAATTGGGGCAATGCTTCAGTCTGAACGATGGATGGTTACACCACGCTTGATCTCCAGTGGGTTGCAGGAAGACTTGGCCATTCCTTAAAGGCAAGACAGAAGTGATGCCTCCAGTTTTTAATTTACTGCACTCCAACTAAAAGTACTGATCTTCTTCTATAACTGCCTTTACATTAAATAAAAAAGCCCACTGACATCAATGGGAGGCTCTTCATTGCTCTGAAACGGTCTTGGATCGGGATTCTGACAGTCACAGCTCTGGGTGTGATCACCAGCAGATATCCACAGGTCTCCTGCAGCGTCCTTGAAGGATCTAGTTGCTAACCACAGTATTACTGTTGTATTTAATGGGACTGATGGAGACCATGAAGCCACTATTTCAAGACCTTGTTCATTCTGTGATCTATGGCTTGAAATTAAGCTCAAAAAATAACTTTGGAAGTAATGCAGCTATCACATTCTTCTTGTCTTTGGTAAGCTCTGTACAATTTTTCTCAATTATGCTGATGATGGTCCAGCTCGTGGCTTTTAGACTCCAATTCAACAGCTCAATTAAGTACCTGATGAAGTCTGAACACGTAAACAGTGCCACTGGTGATGCCAGGCCTTTCGCAAAGGCTTAAGTACACAGATGAAGCAGTCCTTTGGCCACAAGGTTTAATCCTGGCCCTTTAGCGTGAGAGGAAACTGCTACTTGAGTCAGCAGAAATCTTGCTCCAGGATGGACTGCAGGAATGGAGCTGTCACACCATGTTCAAACCACTCCTCGCTGACACTTCTCTAACGGGCTGAGCCAATGCCCACTAGGATCAAGAGAGAGTCATCCATCGCCCCTTGCAGTGGGCACTAGGATCATGCTCCTACCAGAAGCAACTTCCTTCAACTCAACGAAGGGACATGGGTGTGAAAAGAAGTTGGTTGCAGGATCTTCAAAAAGCGATGGACCTTGATTGCACTTGGAAGGAAAACAGAAAACCCACCAAAATACTCAGGAGAAACATCAGGTCCCAGATCAGACTTGATTCTTATATTTCCATTGATTTAAACTGCTGTTCTGTGTATAATCCTTGGCAGGTTCTCAGGAGCATTCCTTTACCTCCTCCAGGCATGGATCAATGCCTGAGCTGTTCAAGCACAAAGTCCAGTTTACATCTGGAATCTTGCATGCAATTAGCGCTTCTAATGGAATCCTTCAAATTAATGCCTATATAGAATGATTACATCTTTTAACGTACCAAGCTGGCTATTCACTAGTAACCTCACTAAGTATTTTCTAGCACTTACAGTGTCACCCTCGTACCACTGAAGGACACCTTAGGTGAGCTGTGGCGGCTGATTCATGGCTGGCTGACGAGCCTAGCACCACCGCTCTGCCCTGCCCCTTGCCAATGTTCTCAGCCAGGTCAGCAGAAGATGACTTTGGTATGTCCCCTGGCTGTCACAACTCCCAGCGGTGCTCGCTAATTCAAACGGAATTTAACATCCAGGTTACACAGCGGTGTAGCTGGGGAGCCAGCTCACCTTCAGTTCCGCAGCGAAGAGGCAAGGTCCAGCTGAGGGAGGAGGCAGCCCAGGGGAGACGGCCATGTCCTAAGGCACCTCCGAGGCATCCCCCGAGGCACACTACAGGCCCTCTAAGAGTGAGTTGTTGGGTGCTTATAGCAGCAGAGGAACACAGGCACTGAAGCAGCCTGCTGTGTTGCATGATGCCTTCAACCCTCCTGCACCAACTGATGCTGCGCCCTAGAAAAAGTCCCGCTGGCAAACCAGCTGCGGAACAGCTCACAGAGTCACACGCGGATTAAAAACTCGGGTTAGTGATCCATACTTCACACAGAAAACAACACATCCAGAAGGAAGGGAGCCTGCCCATGCCCCTGGATCTTGCTTTGTAGAGAACAAAAACGTTAGGAAGTTATGCAAAACAGTTTTCAAAACAAAATGTACAGGAACTACATCACACGAGCACTGCGAAGCAAGCATGAGGAATCCTATCCGCATGGAACCGGGCAAGCACTTGGGGAGTATTTCACAATCACAGGATAAAGCCACAAACCAGGATAAAACAAACATTACCATCTTCTCGTTGTTCAGAACCGAGGACTTCCCTGGCTGATAGTCGTAGATGCTCCTGGGCTCTGCACGGTATTTCCTGGTGTCCACCTTCTTGTCCGGCGGCTCCCAGTCAGTCCTGCGGAAAGGAAGGTCAATTCACCCAAAGCACTGCGGTATCTGCGGCGACGAGCACATCCTTGGGGCCGGCGCCTTTCCCCAGCCATCGCCGCTTAAGCAGGGGACTTGTTTTTAACCTAGGAAAGGAGCCTGCTGCAAGAGGGACAGCTCAGACAGGGCGGCGGGCAGACATCTACAGCGGGCAGAGCTCCGTACAGCTGCTGGAACCGCTGGAGCAGAGGGCGATGCTTCCAAACACCTTTCAATAAACCTCCAGGCTTCCGCATCTTTCCTGACTGGAAATAGCTTAGCGATGGGCTTCAACTAAGTTCGCAAACAGGAGCATGTCCAAACTTTGAGCAGAACTTGGAATAAATCTCTTTTGCTAAACTTCCTTTTAGCTACGTCACTGATTACCTGACTACCACTGCTGTGGGGGCACTCCAGGGTCCAGGAGGGGGTCTTTCTAGACATATGAATGAATTATCTCCAACTGGTGTATCCAAAAATGATCAAAAAAAGCCCACTGACTACCCAAACTACTGTAATTTTGTGCATTGTCCACACCGGCACAGTGCAGGCAACAGCAGTTGCAAAGCCTTTAGGGTCCATGTCCTCCAACGTCCAGCTCCTCTGAAGAGCAGTACATTCAAATATCTCATGCAGAATAACCAACGCCCCCGAAAAAGCCCAGGAATCAGGCCATTTAAGCTGGCAAACTAATTCTGATGTCGCTTTTGATCTGTTCCCCTCGATGGGCAATGCTGTATGTGGATTCATCTCACGCTCCTTCACCATTCACCAAACAAAAGTGAGGTGTCTAATGAAAACTGCTGCTCCGGGTTTCCTCCCGCTTCCCCTGCTGACCTGGTGTAAGACAGGAACAACCCACCGAGTTGCCCACACTCTCTCCACTGGATTAGGAGAGACAGAGACAACCAAACGTTGTTTTTGCTTTTTAAAACTAAGGCAAGGTGACAGCCAAAACGACTGGCCTACAAACAGTGTACACATTTCAGCAAGTTTGATCTTTACTGTCTAGAATAAATTTGATTGCTTAAGATTCCCAGAGAAGCTTCTCCCCGGTGTAACACTGTTTTCTCACTAGGTAATAGGAAGCGCTGATTACCGTAACCCTTTCACTGGCAAGAGTTTTCTCAGAGGGCCAATGCACTACGCCTTCAACTCCTGCGTGAGGGAGACGTGCTCTGTCAGCAAGCTCGGTCTCCTGCTCCGACGGCCCGAGATGCATCTATGCCAACTATGGTATCGCTCATTTGAGGCACAAGTGAAAAACATTACGAGCCTGTGGTAGCTGGTGAGGGAGGAGCAGTTCCACGGATAGGAGAATTCAGCCGGACGAAACATTCCTTTC